AAGGCACTCACGTATTCTTTGGGTCGCAACCAGTAATTATGCGCCACTCTTCATTCTCTATTGCAGGATAGCATATCTTGAGAGGCATGTGCCCCACAATGTCATTCCATTTGTATTCAATTAAGTTGAGAATAGCTTCATTCTGTCTCGGAGTGCCAAGTGATGAAACAATGGACCAGAGATTCCCGAGTGTGAAGAACCTAAAATCCATGTGAGCTGGCTGTAGATTGCCGATTAGATATCCACCTTCTTCAGGTATCCAATCCATAAGCCAGGAAGGAATTTGCTCAGGATAAATATTGAATTTGTTGGTTGCATCCATGGAGTACTCTTCTGTTTTGTAACGGTATATCTCATTGATCTTTTTCATGTCAACCCAATAGTATTCTCTGATGTGGAAAGATAGTGCATTCAGTCTATTGTTTATAGCCCTCACCAGATTATTGGAACCTTCATTTGTGAGCATCTCACGAGAAGAACGTAGGGCAGCATAAAACAAAGCCTGTAGATCGAGTATGTGACAATTAGGACATGAATTTCAACATCAAAAGGGCAAACGGAAGTATGTTAAAAATGTGGCAGGGTCCGATACCATGTGCAAGAAAAAACAAATGACAATTACGGTCTAAAAATTAATATAAGGTTAAATCCAATATGGAATAATTAACAAGAGAAATGTAAAGCAACTATTTTTCTTCTGTTGTTTGTTGGGAAACTTAAGGCTTCTAACAATGAACTCACTTGGATCTCAAGGGGATGACCATGAATACCCATCCTTCTGTCTATCATGCATGATCCATCGGTGACTAACAGAGAAGGAAACATATCAAATCCATCAGCTAAACACAAGTTGAGTATCAGTTTCATTCCTGTTTGAACATCCACTCTCTCTTGCAATGAATAATCACCAGTGATCTTCCCATATGCCCTCAACAAAATAATCCACCACAATCCTACCAAAAAGTCAATTCAGTTTATCAATTCTCTCTCGGAGCAGGAACTTTGGAAAAGGAAGGAAAAAATTACATTAGAAGTAAAAAACCATTATGACTGCTAAAGCTGAATAGTTCAACATCCTCATATTAATTACCAAATCGTCGTACTAATTGGTCTACAAAGTTCCACAATACTAACCAGAGTCCACCGGTGCAACACGGCCAATAGCCGCTTCTCCAAAATCTGGATCTAGTACTTCCTCAAACTTATTGTCATCAATTGGTACAGTTCTAACCTTAAAACTTGCTGGCATCAAACCCTGTCCAGGACTATAGCAGTCGACAGTTTTCTCCCAACTCTAGATCAAATGGAAAAAAAATAGCTGTTAAAGTTTCAAAGGTATAATTTTGCAGACTGACAAGGAAATTTTTAACCTACATAGTAAATAAAATCCATAACCACCTCTGGATTGAGTCTTGATGTGTCTGAAACTACTAGCATAAAGAAAAGAGACCTAAAATTGATTACATTAAGCAATAAATGCCCAAAGTTTTATAATGATCAAAAGCAACCGATCAACATAACAACTTTATGGTAAATATCCTAAAACGAATTATTCCTAGCATTTGGTCTCTTTTAACATGTAAGGTTGCAATGTCAGAAAGCAAGCAGCCCCCAAGCCGTAACAACGACCAAAATAGGATAACAATGATGATAGCGGTAATTAGGCAATCTGAATCTAAAACAATACACAAATGGATACCGAACAATAAATGATTAGTCAACCCAAAAAAGGAAATAATGGTGCTACAAAGTTATCCAATAAGCTAGTAAGTGAATTATGTATATACCTGCAACTGCAAGGTATGGAGGAGAAAATTCTTGACGATCTCTCCTTCGCCTTTAAGCAAAAAGGCCAAAGCCGAAGGCACGAAATCACGAATGAACACCTGATCATAATTCAAAGGCAGCTTATCACATGGATCATTTGCAGCAACTGTACCAACAGGGTATCCACAATACGTCACGACTGCATCTCTCAACAATTTCCACGCCTCCTTTTCAATGTCGCTATCGATTGAAACTCCACCTTTTCCCTCCTCCAATCCTTTCCCGGTGTTCTTCACGTTGTGTCCGTCTTCATCTAGTGGAGTTTCTTCTCCTGCAAGGTTCTTGGGCTTCACAGAGATGCTGTTCTGTATGTGAATTCTCTCGAAAGTACTGTCGTTTATGTTGGTTTCAACCGACGTTGAGAGATGTCTTACCTTTGATGCTACCGTGGCATCAACAGATAAACCGTAAGGCATTGAAATCGCCATGGGTTGGGCAAAAGCGGTACTTGGGACGCAATTCGACTTCTGGGCATTGTTGATAAGGCGTTGAAACCGGGAAGGGTAGGCGTGGAATTGAGAGTTTTTATTGGAATTCAATAGAAAAGCTTTGCCCTTGCAGAAAAGCTCATGCTCATAACAAGGGGGATTAAACGAATGTGTAGACCCCAAAAACAATGCGTTTCTCGGGTCCAGGACTCTTGAAGGAAGCTTGGAAGTGGAATTGCGGATGAAATTCATGGCGTTCGTATTCGGTTTCAGTTTATTTTATTTAGATTCAATTGTAATCGAAATGAAATTGAAATTGAATTGAAAAGATTGAAAAAAAAAGGAAGAAGCTTTGAATGGAAAAGATTGAAAAAAAAGGAAGCAGCTTCGAATGGAAAAGATGAAGAGTTACCCAGAATCTGATAGAAGAAATCTGCGCTGCAACATATCTTTCACCCTTCCTTTCCAACAATTCAGGATTTTCAAATCGTATTCTTCTTCTTCCACTTGTCTTTTGAAGATAATTTTTATTAGGGTAAACTACACAAATGATAACTGATGTTTGAGTAAGTTTTTATTTTCACTTCTAATATTTTAAAAGTCACAAATCAGTTATTAATATTATCGTTTATTACAAATTAATCACTCAACGTTAACCACCGTTATTTTGAGCGACGGAAAGTATACCTGGCATGTTCAACGTTAACCACCGTTTGGTTGTGCTTTCTGGTCACTTGGCACTTGGCAGCTCTTGATTGTGTCACGGTTGCAAGAGAAGACCAGGACGAGGAGATTAGAATTGAAGCGAGGGAATTGGGGGAAATGGACGAGGAATTAGGGATTGAGAGAAAAGAGAGAAAGGAATTAGGGATTTCAATCCCTAATGAGAAGGCTGAGGGGATTTACCTGGAGTTGCAGCAGAGGAAGAGTTGGGCAGAAGAGATGGGCTCAGACGTGGATCCAGTCAACAGCCCAAAGGAGAAAAATATCCAGCTGCAAGGAGTCTATTAGAAAATCAGTTATACAGCTGTCCTCTTTTATTTGCTATAGTACATTGTAATCAAATAAATACTATGTACTAAGGAATGAGAAAGATACCCGAGGAATGAATGAATTTCTGATTTCTGAAATCTCTCTGCTTTTCTTCTTCTAAAATCTTCATCTATTCGATTTTTCCTTCTCTATTCTCCTCAGTTCATAACAGATTGCTCCTTTACCAACCTGAATTCCTCCCTCCTCCATCCGTGTTGCGTGTCGACTCAGGCCGCTCCATGCTCTGTCGGTGGTTCTTTAACCGTCGTCGACGAGCGAGCCGGGATGAAGTACCAGATCCTGTCTCCTCTGAAGGCATCATTAGAGCTACCGATTTTAAAAAGGTTTTATTTCTTAATCAATTTGTCTGTGTTTTGTTTTGATTTATGTATAAAAAATCTGGTTTTAAATTTTAAGTTTGAATTTAATTGCAGTTAACGATAGGTAAAGATGACAAGGGGCTAAAAATTTACGATCCGGGTTACTTGAATACTGTTCTCGTTCGATCGTCTTGTTCCATATATAGATGGAGATGAAGGAATTCTTAGATACAGAGGGTATCCAATTGAAGAATTGTCTGAGAGTTCCTCATTCTTGGAAGTGGTTTACCTCTTGGGTATGCTTTTAAAATTACAACGCCTCCTTTCTTTATCCGATTTGTGATTGTTTGTTGTAATTGGTTAATCATTTGTGAATCATACCTCAAGCTGACAAAATCAATTTAACCAATTTAAGTTTGGAAAACTTAAGCCTTTAACCCAATTATAGAACATGAACCGAAAAGTCCAATCAGCTGGGATGGGCGTTTTTTTTATGCATCCATGACACCAAAATATTTAGTTCCATGTTTCATCTTTTCAAATTCTAGTTTTCAATCGGTTTTCACTTCAGTTTTGCTAAAACATTCTTCACCATCGTTTTCCATGATTATCTACATGGGAAAGTTCTGAACAAAGATAATGCTTTTTCCACTGCACCAACAGGCCTACGTCTACTCGTCATCCTTATTTTTGAAATCTCTGATCTTCACATCAACATCTTCACCATATTGAATGCAGTTGTAGATTTGCGCCAATATTTATTATATGTTGCTTTCTTTCCTCAAGTCTAGGGGAATAAAGATGACCATGCTATACTCATCCACCAGTTCAATCAAAAATGATGGGCGGTGTTTGAATGAAGGAAAGAAGTTGAGTAGTTGGGGAGCTTTGCACGAGACAAAGAGAGTCGTGGGATGGATGACTTTTTGTTTTTCCTCTTATAATATAGCGTGAAGATGAAGATTGAAGAAAATAAATAAATAAAAATAATGAGTTTTGAATTAAAAGAAAAAAAGATGAAGAGAATGATAGGTCAAATAGTGTCAAATCAATAGTTAATATGTCATGTCAGCTTTCCGATCGAGTAATCAATTCATAACAAACGATAATATTAGTGATTGATTTGTGACTTTTGAAACATCAGTGGTGAAAATGAAAACTTACTCAAACATTAGTGACCATTTACGTAGTTTAATCTTATTATTACAGGTAAATTACAAATTCCAATCACTCAACGTTCTTCGTATTCCTATTTTGGTTAATAAAGTTTAAAAGATTTTAATTTTGTCACTAAAGATAATCAACTTGCTGACTGAGCCATTGAGAAACTGCCACGTGCGTATCACAGATTCACAGATCACACATTTGATCCGACAAAACTCTATCCTTTTGCTATTGGTCTCTCCCTGTCCTGCCACTGCGACTCATGCGAGCTATCGGAAAATGGCTACCATACTTGACTCGCTCTTGCCCCCGAGTCGACCCACCCTTCCAACTCGCTTCTCCACGCCATTCCCTTCTTCTGCTTCTTGTCTTTGCACTCGCAGAAACCAATCGGTATCCCATTTTTACTCTCCCGCCATTTTCATTCATGTTTCTTTCATTTTGTTGATCAATATACAGCAGTTATAGTTATGATTCCATGCATTTGCATTTGTTTATGTCGTTTCATTTATAGTAATCATATGATAGGAGATTTATATAATTGAGTAATCTATGTTCTTATTGAATGATTTTGTTTTTCCCTATTATATAATCAGATTACAGCCTTGTCAATCCCTAGGAGGAGTGCAATGGCATTGATTTTATCAACATGTATCTTCTCAAAAGTTAGTTTACATGATCAAATTGCATTTGCTGAACCATCATCAGTTGGGTTCCGAGAGTACATAGATACATTTGATGGCTATTCATTGAAGTACCCTCAGAACTGGATTCAAGTTCGAGGTGCTGGAGCTGATATATTCTTCAGGGACCCTTATGTTCTTGATGAAAATCTCTCAGTAGAGATGTCATCTCCTTCGTCTTCCAGGTATAAGACTGTTGAAGATTTGGGTCCTCCGGAAGAAGCTGGTAAGAAAGTACTTAAGCAGTACTTGACGGAGTTCATGTCGACAAGGCTCGGTGTTCGGCGCGAATCGAATATACTTTCCACTTCCTCAAGAGTTACTGATGATGGGAAGCTATATTATCAGGTTGAGGTGAGTTCGTTCTTCATTTTTCTTGAAGCATACATACCGGTCGCACCCGGAATCACCTGATTCGGGGTCATGTAGGTTATCCAATCTTTTGTAATACATAATTGATGTCTGGGGATGTATGCATAATGTGTGGGATTGTGTTTTTGGCTTAGGTGAACATAAAGTCGTATGCAAACACCAATGAACTTGCTGTGATGCCACAAGACAGAGTACCAAGATTGGAATGGGACCGGCGGTACCTTTCGGTTCTTGGAGTTGAAAACAACAGATTATATGAGTTGAGATTACAAACACCTGAAAGTGTATTTGTAGAAGAAGAAAATGATCTGCGGCAAGTCATGGATTCTTTTAGAGTCAACAAGGTGGCTGGCTGAACAGTTTTTAACTTGAGAATTTACCCTTGTTTTCATTTGTTTTATTGGGCTGAGATTTTTATTCTTTTTCTTGTAGCACTAAACTACTTTTTGTTTCAGCGAAGTATACTAATTTCAGTTCGGGTTATCATTCTAGACCATTTGCTCCAATGGATGCATAACCAACATGGATATAAGAATGCAACCGTCAAAGATCTTCCAAGTACATAGAAAAACTAAAAGAAATATTAAGGGTAAACTAAGCGTTTAGTACTTAAACTGTCAGCGTTAGAAACATGCTCACATCCAAATCCTACTATATTCTTTCAACATTCCTTCAGGAAACATATGTATCAAGCATCATTGTAAGTTATCTTACCTTACATGGGATAAAGTAGTCCAAATAAAGATTGTGGCAAGGAAGTTGGTGAAAGGCAATGATTTTGCTCGGTATGATCCATGATAATTATGAGCAGACATTTCGTGAAATTGAAAATGGAAGATATGGAGCCATAGTTTGTCAAGATGTATTTATATTTCGGAAGTACCAAATACAACAGTTTCTGAATCAGCAAACAACGTAAATTCTGAAAAATGGAGCAGCATCAAAATGCCAACAATTAACACGGCATCTGATGATAGCTGTGGCTTTACATATATAGGGGTACTCTTCAACTTTTTAATTTAGCATGGAAATAAAGATGTTTTAAAGATGATAATTAGCAGCATCAGCTGAAAATTAGCAGAAGGTAAAATGTACTAGAGAACCTGTAACTCATAAGCTTAAACTCTCCATCAGGAGGTACAAATGTCAGAATTAGACGGGATTTCCAGGGTCGAAAACAAACACAGGAATGGAATCTGACACCATCCAGACCCGACAGATTCGCAAAAGAAAGTGTCAAGTCTTGAAGACCTGGCAGATGGGAGTTTACTCGAACTTCACCATAAATTTCACATTTGACCAACACCCCATCCCTAAATAGCACGTGCAAAAGAAGAGGCTCATGACTCTGAATGTAAAACTACGAAATACAAAACATAAACTTCATTGTTTGCATATTTTGGACCTGCAGCTCTCCATGGTATGCAAGACCCTGTAGCACCAGGAAGGGTATCACTTACATTGGAACTATTACCAGTCACCACACTCAAAACTTTGCTGACAATATTTGGGGAACAAACATCTATCTTAGAATGGCTGGTTCTGTTGTGAGAGGGAAGCTATTGTCTATCATCTCATCCAGAAGCTGTAACAAACATGCTAGTTCAGCTCGATTTGAGCAGCACATATTACCTCATGGAACACAACCCACATTTCCTAGTGATAAACAGGCGCATAGAAGAAAAGGACCAAAAAAAATTGACAGGGACGGTATTGATGTGCATGCCATGAAACAGGAAATTGGGTATATGAAGAAGAGCGACAGATCGAGGAAAAAAAAAGCAAACACACTTTTAGGTGAAATGGTAAATAAAGGGAATATTAATGAGAAAGAGGAAATTAGGCCTAAGGAAGGATGTAATTATAATTGAAATGAAATTGAAGTCGAAGTCGAAGAATTGAAGAAAGGAAGAAGCTTTGAATTGAAAATATCCGACTTACCCAGAATCTGATAGAACAAATATACACTGCTGCATCTCTGATATTGATGTTTGAGTGAATGGTTTTGTTTTTGAGGGCAGAAGTATGGGCCTAAGGGGGCTAAATCCAGTGTGAAAACACCTTCAAAATAATAACATTACGGGTAGAGCTCAAAAGGCCTATTTTGGGTCCAAAATTCAATGGTCTACTCCCCTCTTAAACAGTGACATCCAATTCAACCATTATTCATTTAACAATTTGTTAGAGAAAAATCTTATTTGATTTATAAAATTTATATTATGGATTAGATCAGATTTTTTTTATAAAAATAATCGGGTTGAGGAAAATATTTGATGTTTGAGTCGAGTTTAAGATAATTAAAATTATTCGTAAATTAAAATAAAATAAAATTTCATTATTACGAATTATATTCATATTTGTAGAAAAAATTATTGTACTATTATCATTAAAGATGACGAAAGATCAAGTCAGTAGAGCTTTTAACTAGTCTGGTGCAATCCAAGATGTATATATTCTCTATCCGAATTCGAGTTTAGAGAGATATTATTGAAATCAAAATCTTACCTAAATTTTGAAATAAAAAAATTACATATGATTAGATTCAACATGAAAATTAAAAATCATTTTTATTTATTCAAAGGACCTAAATAAAAAAATAAAAATAAAAAATAGTCTACAACAATTATCCTTAAATATAGTGGAGAAAATATATTATTATTATTATTATGGGTCGAGTCTATCGAAAACTTTTTACCCTAAATTCGAACCTTATTCAATTTCACCCCATACAAAACTCGACTTCACATGAATCCAATTATTTGAAGAAAAATAATTAATGTTATTAAATCAAATTATCATCTTTAATTACCATCCCAACTAGAGATCTGCACATTTAGCCCACAAAATAACTAACTCATTATACCTTTTAATAAAAAATGTTTATGGAATTTATTAAAATTATCATCTTTGATTATCATCCCAGCTATTGATGGAGTTCGCAGATTTAGCCCACCAAATAACTAACTCCTTATATGGACCATTAACTGCTCCAAATTCTTTAATCAACGCCAATGTGGCGGCTAATTAGTGGCTACAAATTTAATGCAAAATCTTGAGAAGCCACCTTCAGGCTTCTAGTTCCATCCATCCTTTAATATTTATTAAAAGAATCTTATGGTATATTCCCATTCCAAATCTGGACGTAAAACAAAGCGATTGGAGTCGAGCGTCAAGTGAAAAAGATTGGTCGGTTGTAATTGCATGTTTGGTTTGGAGTAACTAACTTAACTAAAAAGATTTACGAAATTAATCAAGGGCCAGGGAATTCAACGGCTCCGATTGGACCGTTGACACAAAACAACATCACCCATTTCACCACGTGGCGATCCACCGACATTCCAACTTCGTGCCGACGCATGGCACCCGATAATCCCCGCCACGGTCGACACGCAAGTGGACCCCCTACGTCACCATGTTCCTCCCACTTGCCTCTAGAATTACTATAAAACCAAACCGAACGCCTCTAAGATTGCCATCTGGATTCCTGAACCGATTACGTGGCGAAGCTGCAGTGGACCCCACAGTAATCAGATCCACCAAATATTTTCCACGTTGAAGGGTACCGACACGTGTGTTGAGGAGGTCCACGTGTATTATTTGCATGGGGCTTTCGTGTGGGGTTTCCCCGGCTGTTGGCTTTAATTTTCATGAAATTATGGCTCTTAAATGCCCGCTTAGCAAAATTTGACTTCAAATTGATGCTAAATAAACTCGATTTAAATTCATAAATTCAATTTAATTTATAAAATTCTTAAACAAATTTTAAGTTATAAAATAAATTTCACCAATTTAATTTATATAAATTTTTTAAAATCGACTCAATCAAATATTTATCCTTAATTATAGGCTTAATGAATCGTGTCACTGGTCGGTGGATATTAGCCCCAGTTCCTCGGCGATGCTGACTGCTGTTCTGGGGTTAGGTTAGTTAAGCTGTAAATTAATATATAATTTTGATGTAACCCTTTCTTGGACTGGAATATTCAATTAATCCTACTCCTTTTAAAAAAATCAAAGTAATAAAGAAAATTAGCAAAAAAGATGAATCCAATCGCTATATAAACACCCCTTGATCCCCAAAGAACTTAACACGATCAAAGTTTATCTTGCAATATACCCTCGAAAGCAGTTCTCATTTTCCTTCCAACCAAACACTCTTTCATCAGTTTCAAACATGTCAACAAATTTCATAAGTAGCAAAGTTGCCACTGTGACCTCCAAGGTCCCGGCTATGGTCAGGGCTCCCGCCACTTCCAAAAGGGCTTACATTACGTTCTTGGCAGGGAACGGTGACTATGTGAAGGGTGTGGTCGGGTTAGCCAAGGGGCTGAGGAAAGTTAAGAGCAAGTACCCACTCGTCGTTGCGGTCTTGCCGGACGTGCCGGAAGATCACAGGAAGATCCTGCTGGATCAGGGTTGCATAGTCATGGAGATTGAACCCGTGTATCCACCTGAGACCCAGACCCAGTTCGCCATGGCCTACTACGTCATCAACTATTCCAAGCTACGTATCTGGAAGGTATATAAATATACGTTCTTTTGCATGTTGCTTGTGTTGAACTTTTGTTTTATGTTTTTCTTAGATCTTATGTGTTCTTTTTTTGTTGCAGTTCGTGGAGTATTCGAAGATGATCTATTTGGACGGAGACATTCAGGTTTTCGATAACATAGATCACTTGTTCGACATGGGGGATGGATACTTTTATGCTGTGATGGATTGTTTCTGTGAGAAAACATGGAGCCATACCCCACAGTACAAGATTGGGTATTGCCAACAGTATCCTAACAAGGTGCAGTGGCCTGATCATTTGGGTCCTAAACCACCACTTTACTTCAACGCGGGAATGTTTGTTTTTGAACCCAGTCTTACAGTCTATAATGACCTTTTGGCTACTCTCCAAGTTACTCCCCCTACACCTTTTGCTGAACAGGTAAGAATGATTCAAGCTTTTTCACTATTTGATCTCGTAATGAGTTCTGGATACTAGTGTTCTTTTTTGTTGTTTCAGGATTATCTGAACATGTTCTTTAGGAACATTTACAGGCCCGTCCCTCCAATTTACAACCTGGTGATGGCCATGCTGTGGCGTCACCCTGAGAATATTGATCCAGAAAAAGCCAAGGTTGTTCACTACTGTGCTGCGGGGTCCAAACCATGGAGGTTTACTGGAAAGGAAGAGAACATGGACAGGGAAGATGTTAAGAAGCTGGTGGCAAAATGGTGGGACGTTTACAATGATAAGTCTCTTGACTACGCAAATGTTGGTGAAGCCGATGATGACGAACGAGTCGCCCTAGAGTTGTTGGCAGCCTTGGCAGAGACTGGATACGTTCACTATGTTAATGCCCCGTCTGCAGCATAAAGTTTGCGGCCTTCAATGGCGATATATATATAGAGGAGTATTTCAAAGTGAAAGCAGTTGTAAATGTGTGTCATGACATTTGAGGAAAAAGAACGAAAAAAGAGAAGGTTTTATGTAATTTTGTTCTACTAGTTTAGTTTTTCTGTCCATTTTTGAAATGGACAGATTTTAATAGCAGGAACCTTGGTTCCGTTGGTTTTATTTTGTAAACGTTTTGAAGTAAATATAAACAAATATTACTGTGCATGCTGATTTTATTATGTTGTTAATCAGATGCTTCTAGCCTTCTACCAATTGATATCATGGAAATTGAATACTTCATTGGTACTCCAGTATAGTAAACATAGGTTGATTACATGAGAAATCAATCTACAAGGCAGGCCAAAATGCCTAGTTTCCAGGTCAGGCAAAATATAACAAAATAGGATACATTTCCTGTGGAACTTAAAGGAAACAGAAAACAACATCCTTCGCTCGCTGCCTGAGAGATGACCGAACGTTCAACCGATCCTCTAAGCCAATGAAATAAGATAGAACGAAATAAGTTACAAGAGAACAATATCCAAAATGGATTGGCAGATGTGAGTTGAGAGCCTCGTCCTACCTTGTTAGCTATGTTGTTGGAGAGCCAGTCAAGTCCCTCATACAGCCCTTCGCCAGAGGTTGCACATGTACTCTGGATATACCGGTGAGAGAAGCTCAAGAAAGAATGAATGATTACATTTCGCGAGTATAGTTATACAAATGTGCTAATAAGTTGCGAGGACAAACAGACAGTCGATGATAAGCTACCAGTGGCGCTGTCGGAGGGAGTGTAGACCAAGCTTATCAGCAATCTCAGCAGCATTCATAGCGTTTGGTAGATCTTGCTTGTTAGCAAATACAAGCAGCACAGCATCCCTCAGGTCATCCTACACATAAATGACAGGTAACATAATGATTGAAAAAGTAATTGCATGTGTATAAAATAATAAAACAGCCAACGTAAACTACAGCCTCATCATTTCTTTCACTTAGAATCCCAACAAATTGGAGAAACCGCAAACAACAAAACCAATGCAGAACTTGAATTAGGTTGGGCCATCAAAGATTAGAAGGTAATTAGAAGTGAACATAGTTGGAAAATATCCGTGTCAGCCACACGGATAGACTAAATTAGTACCTCATTCAGCATACGATGAAGCTCATCCCTGGCCTCAACCACACGGTCACGATCATTGCTATCGACAACAAAGATCACCCCAGAGTATTTTGGAAGTAGTGCCTCCAAAAAGGTCGAATCTGAAAGTGCACAATAAAGCCTTCGGATCATTGCATGCTATCAAACTCGATATATTTAACCATTCATTCAAATAAAAGGAAAAAATTTATGGCGTGGATAGCCTTTCCTTGTATGATACAAAGGGAAAAAATTCAAAAGACAAGGTAGTATAAAAATAAGTACTTGGTAAGTCTACAACCATTAGAGTTTAGGATAAGACTTCAGCTAACAGCAGCCCTATGGCATTGATTAAAAAGAATAAACCAAATAGAATCATTGCCCTACATACCCATTAAATCAAAATATAAAATGGCTCAGATGTGTTGATATAGGAACATCCAATCAAAAGAGTGTAAGCATATCAATGACAACCAAACAAAACTGCCATGGAAACAGACAAAGATAAAATAAGTATGTAATTTTTGCCACAAAATGAATAGTCTTCCTCATTCAGTGGAGAGGATAACAAAAAACATAATATGGGCATACATGTAGTTTATGAATATATTATGTGCTGACAGAGAACAATCTAATCAGCACAGGACCGTCCATAAGCACATCAATAACAAGGAACATAAAAGATGATTATCAATGACCACCAAACAGAACTGTCATGGAAACAGATAGGCATAAAGATAAATAGGTATGTAATATTCGCCACAGAATGAACAGTCTTCCTCATTCAATGAAGAGAACATAAAAACATAATATGGCCAAGCGTGTAGCTTATGAATATGTTATGTGCCAACGGAGAACAATCTAATCAGCACAGGACCGTCCATAAGCACATTAATACCAAGGAACATAAAAGATGATTATCAATGACCACCAAACAGAACTGCTATGGAAACAGATAGGCAAAAAGATAAATAGATATGTAATATTTGCCACAGAATGAATAGTCTTCCTCATTCAGTGAAGAGAACAAAAACATAATATGGCCATGCGTGTAGCTTATGAATATGTTATGTGCTGACGGAGAACATTTTAATCAGCACAGGACCGTCCATAAGCACATTAATAACAAGGAACATTCAAGATGATGAGTGTAAGCATATCAATGAGCACTAACCAAAACTGCTATGAAAACGGCAAGACATAAAGGTAAATAGGTATGTAATATTTGCACAGAATAAATAGTCTTCCTCATTCAGTGGAGAGGAGAACAAAAATGCATAACATGGTCATAAAATGTAACTTCTGAATATGTTATGTGCTGACAGAGAACAATCTAATCAGCACAGGACCATCCGTAAGAACATTAATAACAAGGAACATACAAGATGAAGAGCATAATCACAGACAGAGGAATAAGGGTAAATAGGTATGTAATTTTTACCACAGAATGAATAGTCTCCCTCATTCAGGGAAGAGAACAAAAACATAATATGGCCATACATGTAGCTTATGAATATGTTATGTGCTGATGGAGAACAACATAATCAGCGCAGGAACGTCCATAAGCACATTACTAACAGGGAAAATACAAGATGAAAGAGGCTGGCTTTCATGTGTAACCACAAACTCGGATAGCCTTTTCTCATACAATCAAGGAAAATCCTTGAAAGATATGGTGGCATTGGTAGATGTAGCTATTGTTTATGTCCTATAATGATGATGAAATTGAATCAGCATAAGATAGTGCATAAGCAAATCCAAAGTTTTAACAAGAAAACATAAGACAAAGAGAGCAGTTTTTATGTGTCAAGTGTCAACCACAATGCAGACAGCCTTTCCTCATACAATCAGAGAGGAAAACCTTCAAAAACAATATGGCATATGTTGATGCAGCTTATGTTTATGTCCTATTCTGATCATGAAATTGAATCACCATATGAGCACATCAAACAGTTTTAACGGAAACCTCAATTGGAGAATAAAATAGCATGGCAAAATATGATGCTTCCATCGAGAAGGTCCAGGAAACAACAGATTACAATACAACGGTAGAAGTCTGAATTTTTAAGGTTTTGTTACACAAATTTTCAAATATATGTTCTATTACCTTGTCCTGACCACCAACATCCCAAACGGTAAAACTAATGTTCTTATATTATACAGTCTCCACATTAAACCCTGCATAAGGTTGCCATAAGCATCAATAGTAAATATCAAATTATTTACAATACATAAAGCGAACCAGAAAAATATCAAGGTAAGGAGCATACCAATGGTGGGAATGGTAGTGACAATCTCACCGAGCTTGAGCTTGTACAAGATGGTAGTCTTACCAGCAGCATCAAGACCCAACATAAGAATTCGCATCTCTTTCTTGGCGAAAAGCCGACTGAAAAGTTTAGCAAAAGATAGCCCCATCCTTTTGCCTTGGCTGACACTCAAAATAATGATAAGGTCAATCGTAATTTACTCACCTAATTGATGCTATCGAAAAGGGAATAAATGTCACATTAATATAGTCACATGTAACACAATAAACACCCATTTTTTTCCATCTTAGAAATGCACGCCATTGAACGTGTAAAAATTCTTTTAGGGGAAAAAACTTGTAAACGCAATGTCAATCTAAACAAACAGATCTAAATCAGCTACAGTCTCGCATCATATTAGATGGAATCGGCAGATCAAAGTACAAAAAAGAAGAATAGCTTCAAAATGGAAGCTAATATTAGCAGCGGCATATTAAGAAAGAGGAGTGGAAATATAAGCATAACAAAGAAAACCCAGATCCAGATCTTGCAGCAAACAGTGAAACATCCATCAACACAAATCAAAGCACGGGCCTTTTATTTATACATATAAATCTAAAAAAACAACATAATAAAAGGAAATCAGAACACAGAAACAAGATACTAGAAATGAGAAAACGGGGATAAGATTCATACATTGGTGAGCAACCGCAGGCTGCCCACTGCAGGAAGAAGAAACAAACGAATAGAGAAACAAAAATTGAAAGGCAAACACGTTCAAAAATATGTAGGCGGGTTATTTATTACGCAATTGGAGGCGGAGGGTGATTTCAGATTAGGGTTTTTTCTTAAACGTTGAGACGCCTTTAGATTAGGCTCAAACGCTGTCGTTTCGCTACCCTCTCTTAACCTCAAAAATATAAAAAATTAGTACTAATTTAACAATGTTTTTGAAGATTTTGGTGTTGTTTAGGATTAATGTTAAAATGTATTTTTTAGAGGTTAATCGACTTAAATATAATATTTAAATTAAAATATATAATATAATATTAATTTTGTTAATATTATAGTATATAAAACATATTAATTTAAATTATGATAAAATATAAAAATATTAGAAAAATAAATTTATAATGATTGTATACTTTTCATAAAAATATATAAAATTTAAAATATATTTTTTTCAAAAAAATTCTAAATCCATAAATAATCTATTAATACAAATATTTTTCAAACAAATTTTTTCTTCAGAAAGTTATATAATAAATAAATTCATTTTTCACATGCAATACCCAAATTTGGTCAAAGTACGGATACTAATAATAGTATTAATTAATACAAAATCATAGGGGTTAATATAATTTCAGATATTTTATCTATTTTTCTCCCTAAGAAATTAAGGTTAACTCAAAAACTTTTTGAGAAGCTTAAATATAGATTATTAATACTATCTTGTTTTTAAAGGATAGAGATTATTAATAGCTAAACATGCTAAAATGTCTTTAACTGCATCCAAAAAGTACCAAAATAAACCACTAAGAACCCTGCCGAGTCAGCAGTTTTTACATTCATAGGTAGTTCACATTCTGATTCCGGCCAACCACCACTTAACCACCGAGCTGGCTTCCTTTCAGCGGAGGCTGCAACTGCAGCTCCAAGTCATTGTCTATGCCACCAGCTTTTGTGACCCCAACCTTCTCTTCTCCTCCCTTTTCACCGTCTTTCATCTGTTTCATCTCTTTATCTTTTCCCCATAGGACAGCGTACAGTCCACCGACGATCAACAGTGACCCTACAACACTGTTTCATCATTTCAGATTATTCAAACCTGATTAGGACTGCTAATCAATTGATTAATAAGAGATTAATAAGTGCGCACGAAAACGTACGTCCCAACGTATAATTGCTCACGGAGCAGGGCCCAACTCAGAATAGCCACGATGACGAGCAACAAAGGGCTGAACACCGATACATAGAGAGGACCCCTTTTCTGTATGCACCATGACATAACACAAAACGCTACCGCATTGCATATGATTCCCTGGAAAGATAAAAACCAAGACAAAACATTATCGTCTGTGCCTGCTCAATTAGCAGATAATGTATATACATATGTCCGATCTGAGTATCGGATCGCTTACTGCGTAAAGAGCTGCAATAAGCCTCATGGGGGAGCTCAATGACCAAGCTGATGGTTTGTGTTCCGAGAATATGCCGACGATTGTACACTCGATGCTGGCCATGAAGCACATTATAGTGGTGCATGTGTAGGGTGCTGGGAAGTTCTTGCTTGTTTGTCCCTGGAAAATTTGTTAAACGTATGATTATTTGTATTTGAATGAAGAAGTTTTGATGAATCATGTGGGTGTTCGGCTTTACCTGGAGTATAAACCATACGGCCCAAGCGATAGCGCTGGCCATAACGAGGAAGGGACCTAGGAAGGAGTTCGATCCGGTAGCCCCGGAGCTGTCGTTGCTCGACATTTTATCGGCATAGTGCCAGTGGACTTTCGATTCGCCTATGCCAATGATGTGTCCGTGGTAAAACGACAGCAGCATGGCTCCACCAACACATATTAGAGTTCCTAATACCTTGGCCACCCCTGATATCTTCTTTATTCCCACGGCTTCTTGTCTAGTAAACATCAAATTCAACAGTTTATCAGAGGAAATGTAAAAAGAAAAAGCACATCAACGGCCTGCTGATGTGTGAAAAGAAGTATGCTTTCTGAAAAGCAGTTAGCAGCAGAATCAGCTTCTTGGTTTGGATCCTAAAGGACTTTCGAAAAAGATGTTTTTGATGGCAAAAGCCCTCTGTTTACTATTGCTTTTTGCTGTAAAAAAAAGTGACTTTGCACGGCCAAAAGCAATTGCTAAAACACACCCTTAATACATATAACTGCAGAAGCCATAAAAGGCAATCGAGACCTGAAAATAGCAGCGAGGACAAAGGTGGCTGCCGGGAGTACATTGTTCAATGCACATGCAACCGTAGCAGTAGTATAGTTCAGTCCGACAAAATAAAAAACCTGGTTCGCCGTCGCCCTGCATCGATAGATCGATTTGGAGTTAGCCATATATGCCTAATGACATGCAAAAGAGAACACTAAACAGTAGACTTACCCTGTCACTGAGCATAAGAAAATCTGGAAAAGTATAGGCATAGTGATCTTGGGTCTTGTTTTGCTGCATAAAAAAAGAGTGAAAAATCAAGGTTAATTCCACACAACAATCAGAAAATAACAAATGATTAACATGCATAGTAGCCGCCGCTGCCAACAAGACGAAATGACTTGTCAGCCATGCATGGAATAAAATCAACTTTTTTCCAAACCAGTTGCAACTTGGAAATCAAAGAATCTACTTTAACCAATCGATTAACCGAGCTCCCTGTGTTATTTAAACCATAAGGCTTCATATATTAGAGCCTTTTTTCCCCCAGACATCCTTTAAATTATTCTCTTTTTTTCCGGATGTTTCTCAGAAACCAAACAAATAAACAACAAACAGCACTACCACTGCGTGCCAGTATATCGGTGTCTGAGAGAGAAAACTTCAAGAAAGCTTAATCAAACTAGTTAAAATCGAAAATCAAAACCGAACCCTTCTTCAAGAAAGTAAAGCCTCAGCATGCAATGTGCAAGAAAGAACAGATAAAACCCATAACTGAGAAACAAGGAATGGAACGAGAAGAGAAGAGGGTTTCTTGATGAATAAGTTAAGACACAAATTACCGCTCTAAGAAGAAGGCAAAAGGAGCAATGGCGAGGGTGGCAAAGATTTGACGGTAAGCAACGAGAACAAGGGGTTTCATTCCAGATTCCAAGGCCAGCTTTGACGTGATGTTCATACCCGCATACCCTACTTGCAGTAGAACATTAGCCACTAAAGGCATGAAATCATCCAACATTCTTTCTTTAATTCTCTTCAAGTATACCCCTTTTGAGAGTTAAAGAAAGCAAGCTAGCCTTGGCAAGAAGAAAAGAAAACAAAAAACACTTATAATGTGAGAAGAATAATATTTGGAAATCCCCCATATATATAAGGAGGCAAAAGCAAAGACCTTCAAGTCTTCAACCCCCCTGCATGAAAGAGGTGAAGTCATTGAGGATTTCTTGCAACACCTGGGCACTTGCATGAGACAAATGCTTGTCAGTGTCATCACTCGAACAAAAAATGAAAATTTAAAGTAGCTTTCAGTTTGTTTGTTATTGTGTCTCGGGCTCGGCAAAATACATTGACACAAAACTTGAAGCAAGCAAACTTTGCCCAAATACCCACGTCAGCAACAACCCCTTTAGTGGGGTCCCCTCCCTAAACAACTCATCAACCCTGCATGGCTTCCAGTCCATCAGAGCATCAACCCTAAAGTCAATTCCTTGAGAACAATGTAGGGCTGCTGTCCCCACTAAATTCTCCAACAGGTTAAAGTAGGTAAACCAGTGGCCATTAATTAAAGAGATAATAATATTAATGTCTAATGGCAAAAGGAAACATGGTCTAGAAGGGGTTGTTGTTTCTGGGTTGGGGAAATCCATAATGCAATAATATCCATAATTTAATGTTTATCAGATCTTTAGCTTAAAGGTCAGACTCCCCTCCACATACAGAGCCAATGGAAATTTGTTCCATATTTCGTCTTTTTCCATGCTTGATATATAATTAAAGGCAAAGTTATATTAAGAAATGGGCGATAAATCGTGCTTCTCTTTTGTGTTTTTTTATCTTATTATTTGGGCAAATCGTGGATCATAATATGGATATTTACGTCAGCGTCTATACATTTTTGCATATACAATTTGAAAAGGGGAGGATTATGGTATCCATGTCCGAAGCCACTATAATCTTAGCTGTCGCTGCCTTTTCCCCCATGTATTCTCGGCTTAATTTTCTGCCACGTCCATGACTTTCCGTATATATGTGTATAACATTTCTCAAGTTAGGGATTGGGGATTTTATACTTGTTTATTCATATATTGATTAATACAATCCCATATATTAGTCTAATACGATAAGACATTAAATATTTTAAATAAAATATACAATTCAAATTATCATTAATTTGATGTAAGATGATTTAACTTCTCTTAATTTTGATTCTAGCTCCGTCCTCGAAATTACTCGGTTTAGTTTAATTTATTAATAAATTAAATATCAACATTTATATTAAAAATATTTAAAGGTGCCTTCGTTAACAAAATCTAAAAATAATAGAAAATGTGGATATCAACAGAAAACAGAAAGATGGCAATACTTATACAAATAGTGGCGAAAAAGAATTCGTCGCTAAAACCATGATGTAGCGACAAACATTAAACTGTCGTTTAGTAGTCTATAAATGGTGTATCCGTTAGTATGCCTTACATTTATATTGATGGATTTATAAGTGTTTTGGTTTAATTAATAAATAATGACATATTTTTAAATCCGTCGGTATTGATATAGCTTAAGCGCACCTTACTTTCGGTATTGATAACGGATTTTTGAAACCTGTTAGTATAACTTATATCTATAATGACGGGTTTCAAAAACAGTCGGTATCGGCACATCTTAAGCACCGTATCTCTTTCATATTGATGGAAATTTTAATTTAATATTTCACACCATTTTCAACCCACCTTTAGTGTGTTTTAATTTTCCTTCTTCTCGTGTTCCTCCATTTATTTAATCTAACCTAATTTTGTTTTTCTTAAATTAAGAGCCTCGTGTTTGAGTTTCTCGAAATCTATTAAGCTTCATTTGTCTTGAATCTGCTTTGTTAATATGAGATATCAGTTTTGTGTGTTTTTATTAGAATTTTTTTGTGAACTATATTTAATTTTAATATTTAAAATATTGTTATTGCTGGAAAAGAACATTTGTAAAAAGAAAAAGTAAATAGAAATACGTAGAAAAAATATATGTAAAACATATGACGACGATTACGAACCGTTAGCAAAGAAATGTATTAATGGTAAAGGTTCCAAACATTTGACTCTGCTTTTATTGGTGAAAAGTTTTGTTGCTAGAAGTTACAAGGGATTTACCGACGGATAAATCCGTCAGTCGTCGGTAAATCCGTCAGTAGAATGATGGTCAATTGTTTGTCGGGGTAGCATTTTGTTAGTTATTATATTGCCCAAGGTTCTATAATCTATACTGATGAATTTTCCGTGTTTTACTGACAGATTTTGATTGCCATATATGTGATTTTTTGTAATTAACATATATATTTTTGATTCTGCAAAGTTGATGTAATTGAATATTTATTTAAGCTAAGTATTTGATCCACTAATCATGTATAATTTTATATATAGTTAGTGAATCATATATATATGATGACATATTATTATATAAGATTAAAATTATTTAATTTTAATTTTTTATAATAATATATCATTATATATTTATTGATAACATGTACAATTATGTTTTTCATTAAAAAATGTCCAAAAATTTATACTATAACACAAATTACAATAAAAAAAACAATTCTATTTAGTTTTAATTAAATGATACCGTATTAATCTAAGATATGATACGGGCACGAATCAAATAACTTTAGTGGTTAATGATTTTTTGTTATTCCTTTAGGTTTTAGATTCGAACACCACGAACGCAAAGGTGAATGAGCGTTCAATGTCAAATAGTTGAGAGTCTTTGAACATATACTATCCCTTATATTCACCCGATACTAATAAAAAATGATATTTTTAAATATTTAAAATATTTATCGACTCATTATATATTAATGTAATAATTTAAATTAATTTGATTAAATAAATTAAAAGGCATCTTCCTTTTATCGATTGAATTGAATGATTAATTGTGGGAAATCAATGATTAATTCGACTTATAAAATGGTTAAGTCGAGGATTCTGTTTTTGGTAAACATGTTAGAGTTTAGCCATGCACGAAGAAACGTACGACACGAAATATACCTTTTACACATAATGCATGCATGTTAGATAATTGATCAATCATAATTCATAATATTTCATAAGAGTAATTTAGTTCATTAAAATTTAGAAGAAAAAAGACACGTGTAAAGATGTTATACGTGTAAAGATGATACATTGTATAATGCATGTTTGCATGTGTGTTGGATACTTGATCAATCATCGTAGATTAGTAATGTAATAAGTTGTATTAGATCGAGTTTTCACCAACTGGATTTAACTTAAAAGATACATTTTCTCTATTCAAATTTAATTTGAATCCAAAGAGTCCTCGCCCAACTCAAAATTTAACCTGAATTTTGGGATATATTTGTTTTAACTTTTAACACGATAAAGCAGGTTAGACTCTAGACTAGATTGGAGATTCCACAAGGAAAGAAAAATATTTTCAGAGTGCAGTCCGACTCATGGACAAATTTGATTCATGCAGATACATTTAGCAGAAGATGCGATTCATGACTGAATTAAGTTGTTTCTGAGGATATGATACAATAACAGGCCTGTACAAATTAATTTAAAATTAATTTAAAATTTTTAAATAGATTTAATTAAAAATATTCAAAGAATAAAAAGTTAATGAAAATTGTTATTCTTTAAAAAGATAAATTAAATTAAATTAAAAAAATTAAAATTAAAATATTATTTTTAAAAGGGTAAAATACACAAATGATTCCTCAAATATAAGGCGTTGCTTTGATAACTCTCTGACTATTAAAAGTTACAATATGATCCCCAACTATAGGGTGTTATTTTGTTGAGTTCTCTGACTATTAAAAGTTATAAAATGGTCGTCCGACTATTCATATGTTCTAAGCTCACCCTTTTTCGTTAAAAATTTGATGGCGGTCTGAGGTGGACGTTAACCTGATGAATATGATATGATAAAATTTGACCACATGATCTCAAACAATTATACAACTCAAATAATTATGGAATCAAATTTTATCATATTTCAGTCAATAAGTTAACGTCCAGCTCAGATTGTCATCAAATTTTTAACGATAAATGATAAGTTTGGAACATATGATTAGTCGAGTGACCATTTTGTAACTTTTAATAGTTAGAGGACTCAAAAAAGAAAGACCCTATAACCGGGTATCAATTTATAACTTTAAATAGTCAAGGGACTCAAGAAAGTAGTACCTTATAGTTAGGGGACCATTAATGTATTTTACCCAAAAAAATAGGGCAAACCTCGTCCGTCATTTTATGAAGGTTCATGCAAATTTTGAGGTGGGAATAAAGGACTTTTGTGGCACCATCATTGTAGTTGCTTCAAACACAGAGTATTGTGAAACTAAACTTTGCCTAAAAACAACAACAATTCTATCACAAAATTCCAACTCTAAAAGGACAACTCAACCTTGCTTATTTATGCCTCACTTGGAAAACACAAGTGTATGTTTGTCACAATCCATCACCATTAGATGGGTCCCCGGTCTCTTCGTCTAGGTGTTGTGATAACACGATTTATGAGTGAATTTATTTTTGACGTATTCTAATATATTATTTTTGTTGAGTCCTCAAGCTTTAGGGAAAACAATATAATTATTCTTAAGTTAAGAATAATTATAATAATAGCACCATCTAATATTTTTTAATTTAATTCCTATTTTACTTAATGAAAAGATTATATATATATATATATATATATATATGTGTGTGTTTGTGTGTCGGGTTGAGTTGGGTTAATGTAAAATTTTATCTAAAAATCATATCAAATTTTGAATTAAGTGGGAATTTTTAAATTCAAATCAAATCAAATAACGAATAAAAAAATATAATATTCAAAACAAATTTAAATAAATCAAAATCTTGCTTATATTTATCCCTAAATATGAACTACACATATCCCCGGTTTAAATATTGAGAAACACTATGACAATAAAACTCATGATTCTTGAGGGAGCGTAAAGAAGAGAATATTAAATTATGTCATAAATAGAGTAATAGTCTCAAATAAATTGAATTATGATATTTAGATCGTGAAAATGATACACAAC